ATAACCGGTTGGCTTAGAGGGTAGTGGTTAATGGCTCATACTTCACCTGGAGGCTGGTAACAAGCAGCAGACTGGTCTTTCCTGGAGGAGATGGTGGAGGACACTCTAACCAAGTTTGCGGGTGATGCCAGACTGGGGGAGATTGGTCGATTCAGCAAGGACAGGGCTGCCATTCAGAGGGACCTGGAGAGGCTGGAGGAGTGGGCCGGCAGGAAAACTGTGAAATTCAGCAGGTACAAATGCAAATCCCTGCACGTGGGCAGGAGGGGCCCTTGCAGCAAGACCAGCTGGGGAGCAGCGTTGCGGAAAGGCCCAGGGTGTGCGGTGGGCAGTGAGCTGGGCACGAGCCAGCAGCACAGCTGGCAGGAAGGGAGGCCACATCCTGGGATGGATGAACAGGAACGTGGCCAGGAGATCAAGGGAAGAGGATTATCCTCCCCTACGTCTACGTGCTGCGTCCAGTTTTGGGCCCCCCAGTACAGAAGGAACATCAAAAACCTGGAGTGAGTTCAGTGAAGGATTGCTTGAAACTGGGATATCTTTAGTGAAAGCAAAAACCCCTGTGAAGAATACTTGCATGCATTTTATGGTCTGGTGGAATGAGTCCACAAAAAACAGATGAACTGTAGAGCTGGGGGGGGAAAGGGCGTGTAATCTAAGCTCTGGCTTTTTATTACTCTGTGCCTTTCCCTCTTTAAAACAGATACATTTACAGATTCTAAATCACAAAAGAACTATAAAGTAATATAATTAATTAATTGAAGGAAAGTAAATTGTATAACAGTATGAAACGACCAAAACCCCATCTATTTGGACAATTTTACATCTTTCATATTAGGTCTAAATGATGTCAGCAATCTCAGCAGCCAGTGTTTTCAGTTGCTGGTTGTTTTTTTTTTTGGTAGTCATTCTTCTAATTTGGTGGTTGTTTTTGTAGCCGTACTTATTCAGGAAATCTGTTGTGTATAATTGGAAAATGTTCTAGATTACAGTATAAAACGGTCACTTAGCGTGTTGGTTGGAGAGAAACTTTGGGTACTGCGGCAGAATGTTAGGTTGTAGGAAGTGTCAGTCAGGAATATGAATAATATCGAAGAAAGGAGTCCTTTAGACTTGAGGCATATGGTTATAAGCTACTGTAATTTGTTCCTTTGGAGTTTGGATTCTTCTAGTGTCTAGTTCAAACACTTAAGAGACAAGGGAGAGGTTTTCCCAGAAATAGAGTTCATTTATAAATAAAAATATTTTATAAGGTCATTAAGAAAGAATGTACTTTGAGGTCCTGGCTTTAATAAATTAATCTTGTGATAGGAGTACAGTGTCTGGTTAGCACACATTCTGGCTGCAGAAGGATATCAGAAATGTAAATTAAGATGTGAAAACAGGGATGTTATACCAAATGATGATCGCATACTCTTAGTCTTGTCTTGATTTCTAAATCTTTGGCCTATTTGTACAGCAGTATGGTGAATTTTCTCCCAGAAAAAAAGGCTGAGGGGGGGAACAGCTATAGGGAAAATCAAGGCATTAAGGAATATATTCTGGACACCAATTTTTTTCCCATTGACCTTTGAGAGCAGAGGGCAGCCCTTCTACTGATGGAAATAGCTGGTACAGCTTTCCAGGTCCCGGTAGCTGTTATGGGCAGCATCCACAGAAGCAGATCACGATTACAGCTTTTTCTCCTGCTGAGATGTTTGGAGAAGTAGAGTCATCCCTAAAAGCTTCCCAATAAATCCTCCCCTGGCCAGGGGAGGCGAGGGCAGTGTAGCATCTCAGTGGGGCTGCACGTTCCTGGAGGCTGCTTCAGGCTGGGGTGGCCGGTTCCAGGCCAGAAGCGACTTCCATGCTTCAACGCCTGCAGAGCAGCTGCCATGAGCAGCTGGAACGGGTCACAACGTAGGTGGCTTGTGAGAAGGAGCACAAGGCCAGGGAGAGTATGTTGTGCTGCAGGATTGGCCAAATGAGGTTCTGTAGCCAACAGAAGTTTTGTGGACAAAAACTCCGCTGCCTCTTTGCTTCGGAGGCGGCCGGCTGTGAGTTGTACTGTGGCTGCGAGGGAGGTGGGCTGCTGGATGGGGATGGTGCAGGAGGCTGTACGTCAGCACTGGAGTTTCCAATTTTTAAGAAATGTTTTGCCTCCTTTTAGTTCTGTTCCCGTGAAAGTCGTAGCTGATGTAGAATTCAGGTTGCCTTTTATTTGGGTTATTGTGGCAACTGCTGTCGTCTGCATCTAATTGTGAATTAGCATTTGCTGTGTAGCCTGTCTGTCTCTTTTTCTGTGCACAGCAGTGTGATTGACAAATAGATGCAGTTACTAATTCAAAGGTACAATTTTATGGTAAAGGGGAAAATGCAATAGTATTTTAAGTGTGTCAGGTTTCGGTTTGCATCCTGGAAATAATTTGTATGTGGACATGAAGAGTGTGTGATGGTATAAGGATGATACTTTGGTCTGTCTTGACCTTGTTGCTGGTTCTATTCAGTGTTTTATAAACGTGTAAAAACTACATTTGGGTTATGGAGAACATAATTCTCAATAGCTTTGTAAAAGAAACAATATACCCATTTTTCTGTTGTTTTAGGTTTGACCTTCAACTTGCCATCCTGAGCATTTCTGACAACAAGCAGAAACCCCAAATGTAGCAGTTTGGTTTTTGCTTAGCCAAGCAACTTCCATTACACCTGGCAGAGTGTGAAATCATGCGGCAAGGTTCTTGATGTTAACTCTCTGGTACTGACTTTGGAGAACAAGCCCGTGCCAACTCTTCAGCTGGCGTATTTTGAGTTTCTTTAGAACATGTCAGCGCAGCAGGCAGCTGTTGCCATTTAGCTTTGGCCAGTGACAATTTTAATAGCTAACAGCACATTTTGGGCAAAATGAATAAAACAGAGGGTACAGTGCTAAGAAAGAAGTTGCATCAGTCTCATATGTTGTTTGGATGCTGTCTCTGTTCTGGGGTTAAAAATATCCTGAAGTACCAATATAGAGTGCAAAGCTGTCAGAATGTATTATGAGGAAGACAGGAAATTTCTGTTGTCAGTGAGAGCCGCTGGCTTTTATTATTACAATCGAATAGCATTTCTGCATCATACACAATGTTATTAATAATTGCTCATCGTTCAGGAGGGTAGTAAAGGAGTTGCTTCAAGGAACATAGAGTCATCCTACACCACAGTGTAATTGATAATAAAGATGTATTGACTTCAAGGAAAATGCTTTCCTTACTATACACTTATGTTTTACTTCTGAAATCTGCTTTAAGGAAAATATTTCAGTTTATTTACTGATGTTTTAATGGGTATTTGGTGTGTCGGTCCAGTTTTATGGCTCCTTTTGGCAACTTCACAGCTCAGTTGCTTCTGTATATGATCTGTGACCTTGATGCAGGCAACAGAGGAAATTACTGCTCTCTGATGTTTCTGCCTGGTTTAATAAAACACATTCTGCATTTGGTTAATAATGTCCATGATGGTAAATGCTTTTAACGCATTTCCTTATTGTAAAGTGTTATTAACATAATATTTTGCCTCGAAGACTGACATGGTGCTTGTCCTAGAAAATGTTATGCTCTTTCAGGATTTATAGATATGGATGCCATATCTGGCTGTGTCTGTCTGCTGTGTGGAAGCTTGGAATTTTTTTACCCAGCAGCATTTGTTGCTTTCCTTAATGGGTAGAACAGCCCAGACCAGCAGCTCTTCTTCCCGCCCCCATGCTTTCCATCAGCAGCTCAGCCAGAAAATTATCGGGTTTTTTTTCTTTAATGTAAGCAGAAAGCTCTTGAGACCAGTTTAGAAAAATGGACAGAGAACTCTGAGAGGAAGAGTTCAGTTTATATATTCCTCCTAAAAAGCATTTTTTTTCTAAATCATGTTCTAATAGTGGTCTGGCTAGAGCTAGTACTTCAATAGCTATCACATCTTTTTATTCTAGAAGATGTTATTCTTCACTAAATGGCATGATTATTTTCTTTGTACATCCTCTGGCCAGTCAGTGACTCCTGTAGAGCAAAGCAGGAGAGAAGGAGCTCTTCTAATGATATTTGGTCTAATACTTCTTTCACTGTAGGAGGAAAGAGGAAGTTCTAGAGACCCAGCATAGATAGGTATCAGCAAATTCTGTTCTCACTGTATGTCTGTACAAGCTAAACAAGCTGGCCCTTTCTGCTTGGTGTCATATGAGTAATTCATGGCAGTTGGCTTTGCTTTTTTGCTGTCATTATCCTCATCATCTTCTGGCACATTCTTTGCTGCTGTATACAGAGAAGACCCTGCGTATTGACATTAATGACTGTGTGGTGGTGTCATTGAAAACAGTGCTGTTTACTTACCTCCTGTCAACTCAGGCTGCCTTCACAACTTCTGTGGATGTGTACCTGCACTACATGTACCATATTCTTCAAAGTATTTTTCCAGTCTAACTGAAGGCTGACAAAAACAGAATCTCATATGCATGTGCACGCACACTCATATGTTATGTATGTGTATTTATATATCTTATAAGTATGTATAAGCCTTACGTACATATCTGTCTTTCCACAGGGGAAATGTGCTGCAACACTCAAATTAAGAGTATTGCTTTTGTGTGTGTTAGGTACATACAATAGCAGAAGCATTATTATCTGATAATTTTTTTTTTGGCAGAATTCTGAAATCCGGTTATTGATGAACAGTGCTTTCAGGTGTTGCTGCTTATGCAGTTTCAGAAAGCTGTGTCTAGCCTCAAGATAAATAGCTATGATGTTGCTTTAATGTGAAGGTTATGCTGCCTAAGATAGTATTCTTATCCTGTCAGTTTTAAAATATAGTTGCAAAGCACAGAAGCCTTCTTTTATAACAGCCTGTGTTAACCGTCTGTAGTAACAGTCTGTCTGTATTGAACTGGTTCAGTAGCTTTTAAATTCTGTCCGTATTGAACTGGTTCAGTAGCTTTTAAATTCTGATACTCAGGGGGGTATACATTCAATATTTTATTTGTTTGTTTGTTTTATGCTCAGCTGAGCTAGATGCTGAACATGCACAGAAGGTTTTGGATATGGAGCACACCCAGCAGATGAAGCTAAAGGAACGTCAGAAGTTCTTTGAAGAAGCCTTCCAGCAGGACATGGAGCAATACCTTTCTACAGGATACTTGCAGATAGCAGAGAGGCGAGGCAAGTTTTAAAATACCTTCTGTGTATTATAGTCTGTATATAATACCACAAACTTGGAGAATATTGTTGAGGGGTCAGTCAGCAGCATTTTTAATGCTTACAGATGAAGCATTGCAGTGTCTAAATTCTTCCTCTGTAGAATTGAAACTTCAGATAAGCTCTTTAAACAAACTTTGGGTTCCAGGGGAACTAGTCACATTATAAAATCCATCAGACTCCCTGCTTGTTGTCTCAGAAAATGCAAAGCACCGAATTACCTCTGGACCAGCACTTTTCTCTGCAGCTGAAGGGTGCATCCATATCTATAAAGAGATGGATGGAGGTGGCTGCTTCTGTCAAATGGGATATTTATATATTCTATCCCAGCCTGGGGTTGTCACCTGGCAGGAGTCGCCTCAGAAAAATTTCAAAAGCTCATTGTTGTATTTCAAACAGTTCCCAGGTGGTAGCTATTTCCATTGTCTATGTAACACACAGAACATGTGATTAGGACATGGGAGATCAGATTAAGCTCTCTCATTATGAGATGAGTCAAGTCTGGCTAAACTCTCTCATTATGAGATGAGTCAAGTCTGGCAACTCCTGACTAGTTAAAGCACAAGAATACCATAGACACTTCTGTGTGGGAGGTATCCATCTGCTGGGCCAAAATGCAGGGATTGTAGGACCAGAAAGAAAGCAAGCAGGAGATTACATCACTTGTGGCAAGAAAAAAATGTCAAAATGCTGTCCCTGCTCCAGGGACTGGTTCTGCTACATCGTGTGTAATGTCAGAGCAGGGAATACAATCTGAGATTTCCATTTCTCTGCAACGCTCATCTGCAAGATGCTGTAGGTCAGTTGCTAGGACAGCCTTCTGAGAAGAGGGATGTGTAAGTCTAAATTCCTTTGGTCTAGGAAGGAACTGAGTTTGGGTCTCCTGCTTTCTGCGTAGATATAGTCCACTTAGACTAAAAGTGGACGTTGTCACTGGCTGGTACTGGACACAGGGCTCTGTTGGAGGGTTAGGCTACCTACCTTCCTGAACTTCAGCTCTGCAGTATAGTGCACAACCCGTGTGTATCAAAGAAACTGTTTCAATGAAAGATTGACCCCTGCAGTACATGTAGAACTACAGAGCTATAGTGTCTTTGGGAAAAAAAAAATCAAATTATAGGATTTCAGCTCAGTTCACATATGAAGGCTTTTAATAGTGTAATTGTTAAATTTATATAAACCATTAAACTGTTCATTGTAATATTTTATGTTATACATGCAGCAACTGGACTTAAATTTGACTTAGTTTAAATTTTACTTTAATTTGGACTTAAATACCCCTGAACTTACTTGTTCTGTGTTTGCATATTTTATTGTTGAAGGAACATGCCCATCCAACTATTCATCCAAGTATTTAGTTTCCTTGTGAATTGTCAGTATTATATTGACAAGAATAAGCACTTTGCTTGAGTAATTAATAATATGAAATCATCTTCATGCTGAGAAGAAGATACTGGGCATCAGGCTAGGTTTTATATACTACTGTCATTTATTAGACTGAATGAGGAAGCAGAATGGCTGCTCTCTATTGACACTAATCCTTATTTCTGCATTTCCCCATCCCTTGTATTTTGACATTTAGTGATTGTGTGCTTAAATGTGTTTGTTTTTCTCTAAAAAGATTTCTAATTGAGAGAATTGGAGTGTTGCAAAATGGAAAGTTTCAATCTTTGCCCCTGAGCCCCATCCTAGCATATTTCTGACTGTGCTATTGCTATAAATATTGTTGCTAAAAATGTTTTGTTTTACAAAGGCAGTAATGGACATCAGTTTCACAACAAAGATTGCAAAGAGTACTCTTGGATTTGGGCTGAGATTGCTGCTGAGCAGCTCCCGTGGGTGTGCTCCTTCTATATCTGGTGTAATTATTACTAATGCACACAATTATAGCAGCTATTGAAGCCTTTATAGGTAATAACATTGTGTAGTTGACTGTCAGTTTGCTCATTGCACTGTTTTTACTGCAGAACCGATTGGAAGTATGTCTTCCATGGAGGTGAACGTGGACATGCTGGAACAGATGGACCTAATGGACATGTCTGACCAAGAAGCACTTGATGTCTTTTTGAACTCAGGAAGCGAAGACAATAATATGCTTTCTCCCATGCTGGGTATGATACTGATAATGACAGTGTGCTTAGAGACAAAGTGATAAATCACCAGAATTGCTCTAATTTGGAATGGATTATGTTATCTCATGAAACATTATGCTGCACGTAGATTGAATATTTTTCATTAGTGGTTTTCAAAGCATTAATATTTAGTTGAAGTACAGGAGAGCTTGCTGCAAAACTACTTGGTATTTCTGGACTGTCTCTTTTTTCATCTACTTACTACAGCTTCATGTTGTATTTGTCATGGTAGGGGTAGGTGGTGTGTTACATACTGCGTTTAAGGTGCATTTTTTTCTCTTTAAAGCTAATAGATAATAATAAGTTTTAACAAACATCAACAGAAATTTTGCAGTAGGTAGGTTTTTATTTTTAAGACTGCTTTCTTAGAATTTGTGCAGAATGTTGGTGTTTTGAAGTAAATTCGGACCAGTTGTATAGTGCAAAATTTTCAGTGAGAGGGGTTCAGAGATGTGGTTCAACATAGCAGTCCATGTTATAAAACATGACAATGTTCTGGAAGCTTCTAAATAGTGATTCTGATACTGCAGCTCTTTCATGTAGCCTGCTTACTGCTAGCAATGTTAGTTAAATTGGATTAAATTAATCTTAATCCAAAATTTTGTTTACGTGTTCTGATGAACAAAACCAGATTTACGTTTTGGCAAGTTTGCAGCATGATGCTTAAAGCAGGGAATTAGTAATACTGGATACTTTATCCACAAGGGAAGTGTGCTTTCTTAATCAAAACCTTATTTTAGCACTAAGATCCTTTTCCCAAGAGCCAAAACAGGTTTTCTTGGGGGAGATGATGAAGCTCCTTTAAATGTACTTAGATTTCTTTTCAAATTACAGGTTCGAATATTTTTATAAAACTACTTACAGTGAAGAAACAGTGTACTTTAAATCCTATACTTTATTTTGGGATATGTAAAGAAAAATGTTAATAATATCCTGGGGTCATTTTCTTTCTCCCGATGTGAAGGTGTTTATTACCTGCTGTGAACATGAAAAGCATAGGGTGAGTAGCCAAGGCACACTTGACTACTCGAGGTTTTCATGCTTTATTGAAAGAACAGAATTCAGATGGCTGGTTTTGGATGGGCATCCAATTCCTGCAGTATTAAAGGTGATTGTTGTTCGAGCATGCAAGTAATTCCAGAAGCTAGGACTGCTTTCCCCTTGCTGGATCTTTGGCAGATGTTGGACCAAGCAGCTTTGTGTCTTAACAACAAACAGTGTAAGTGGATTATCTAAGGCAGTGTAGAAACTACGAGGTCTGGTTGCTTTTTCCTAAATAGATGTAAAACTTATTAGCCTGTGAGAAAAAGATGTTATTTATTTTGTGCTGTGATGTAACTATTACAGTGTGCATGTGTAGATAGTCTATATATATTTACTATGTGTAGGCACGTACTCTGAAATACAATGTCCCAGTGTTCTAGCACTGTAACCTTAATGCAGAGGTTGGATGGGTTTGCAGCAAGACTTACTCCTCTGCAGTTACTACTACTACACCCTAACAGTCTTGTCAGTCTTACTGTTGTGGTTCCAGACAATTTTTTTTCCCCTCTGAATGAGAAGGGATTTTTGTGTTGTCGCTTGAAGGATCTTGCACCCTAGGGTCAAGCCAAATACATACGTTAGTTCTTCAGGCTCAGAAAAATGAGGTGGCTTAAAGATAACTCTTTGTTTTGCTGCCAGTGGAGAGCTGGGTTGGTCAGGGGAAGATTTGTTTCACAATTTTACTGAACGCGGCAGAACGCAGGTAAGCTATTTTAGTGACTGCTGAAAATGAAAATCAGCTCAAGGCATTGAAACATTTTTAAATTAGTCTTGCTACAAACGTTGCCAGCGTATGGGCATTGGGTTTGTGATTTTCTATGAGAGTCAGTAAGTGGAACTGAGAAATTAACTTGCCTCTGCCACTCCAGAGAACTCCTCCCATGTGTTGTGTAAATTAATCTAATGCTTGTTGGTGTGCACAGCATAGAGACGGGTGTCCTTAGAAATATCTTCATAATATTGTAGTGCACTGATATTGCTTGTCTTCACTATAAAGTCATGTACTACCCCAGGAAGCACCGCGGCAGACCTGCTGGACATCCTGGACTGACCCCGTCGGGTGGCCTGGCAGGGTGTTTCCAGTTCAGGCAGGTTAGGTGGTTGGTTGTTGGAGTTGTGAATGTTGTACGAGATGTTTAGCAACTTGTGTTTAAAATGGAGACCTACTGAGGTGAGGGCAAGTTTCCCTCTGGAGTTTTTGAGTCCCCGAGAGGCTGAAACAATGCAGGGCTACTTGCTGTCCAAGCTTAAGTCCAGAATTTAAGGTTGGAGAACATTAGGGCAAGAAATGGGCTTGAGCAACAGCTGCTGTACCTTTCCGTGTCTGGTACAACAAGCTTCTGTTGTCTCCAGGTGCTGTTGTGACCGTTTTCTTGTTACCATTTAACTTGGATGCTTGGTAAGAAGATGGGGACCAGTCACAGGGCAAGTGAGCTACTCTGCAACCAGCGTTAGCAGAGTTAAGGTGTAGGGATTAGCCCGTCTCTCGCCGAGCTTCTGGAAACCTTTTTATATTAAATCCCACAGGAGTTTTTAGAGCATTTTCTCACTAAGGTTTCTCAGTGCTGAAGCTGGGCGCCCTGACTGTGGAAAAACCCTTCTTAGCTATAATAGGGAAGGAAAAAAGGGCTTTATTTGGCAGATCACGTAGAAAGATTTGTTTAGATGTTTCCAGGAAGTGTCCAGAGAAGATCTAAGACAATTTTGAAATCTTAACTCTCAAACTGGAGTTACATTACACTGAACTGGCTTAGAATTAAATCTTTTTGCATAGGATATGGAGGAAGCATAGTCTTTAAGATCCTGTTGCTGTGCACGTGAGCTATGATACAGCTTTTCCAGAGGAATGAATTCTTTCATGCTGTGGGCAAGAATTTGTTTTGCATTTCGATTTTTAGCCAAAATTGGAGATTACTGTTATTGCCTCTCTCCCAGTTGTCTTTTTTTTTTTTTTTTTAACTTCACCCAGGTTTATTTATGTCATTCTGTTGGACAGAGTTTATTTGGAGGATTTTCCTATTGGGATGATTCTCGGCACATGCTGAAGTCTGAATGGACTTCAGAGTTGGGAGGATGAAGTGGCCTTGGCTGACAGGCCAACTGGACACCAGCTGTGTCTCCCAACAGTCAGGATTTAGTTCTCTTGCAATCATCTTACCTTGTTCCACCTCAAGCGTTAGCAATGTTAGAACGAGTGAGGGACATGGACACCATCAGAAACAGATTAAAACCCACCTGTGGCTTGTATTTGAGATCAACTTGAGAAAAGCCAGAAGCAGCTTTGTGTTTTGGGAGGGGTTTTTTTTAATGGTCTTTTGCAAAAGCAGGAGAACAGCCCGAATGCAACTCATTAAGCACCGTGGAGCTCAGTTAATATATTGCCTTCTCAATTCGCTTGCTGAGCCACAGCTTGATTGTTATTGTTCTTCTTCTTTTTCCAACTCTAAGGGCCCGACACCAACAGCTACGTGAACGAGATAAGCCTGCAGGTTCCCAGCCAGTCTGAACTACGCCAGAAACTGTCTTCCCTGTCCTCCACCTGCACCGACTCTGCCAGCCAGGACGCGAGCGAAGGAGAGTCTCCGGTGGTTCAGTCCGACGAGGAGGAAGTTCAAGTGGACACTGCTCTTGCTGCTGTAACCGAGAGAAAGGGCGCTTCAGATGTTAGTGATGAAAGTGACTCTCAAACTATTTGAATCCTAAAACCATATCCTTTAAGAATGACTTCTGAATGAATGAACAAGTGAATGAAGAGCTTGCCTGTGTAACAATTTGCTAACCGAGCGTTAACAGCCAGATCTTTTTACTTAGTCATACCGCCTTTTTACAAAATTGCCAGTCATGTGGAGGTTGGTTTTTAAAAAAACAAAACAATAATGCCTAAAGCACACACACTTTAACAGTAGTCTTGGGGCTCAGGAGAGCAGTAAATCTGTTGTATATACTATGTATAAGAGAATTAAAGCAGAAAGATACAAGTTACTTTGACCACTAACCTTTAAATGGCTGATTGGAAATCCTTAGACTTGATGTGTAATACTGAACCCAAATTGTTCCTTGCATGTTTTCAGCTGCTGCAACCGAAGATTTAGGATCCAAACCACAATGAAAAGTTATTTTCTACTCTTTACTACCTACTGTCTGCCTACTGCCTTTGTCTACTAAAGCAGCAGTGTCTACTCTCTCACACTTCTTATTCAGGACCAACTTAGTTATCGTAGGTGTTAAGGAAAAAAAAGAAAAAAAACAGAAACGGAAAAGGAGGAGAGATGCATATTGAAATGTTACACTCCTCGTGGAGCAGATATCTTAGCATTGTATAAACTTACTCCTCTTTCGAGATAAAATAAAGTATTTCTATCCCAACCATGTCTTTTACTTGATTACCCAAATATTTTATCCATGACAGTGAACAGAGGAGACTAATTCAGCAATCAGAAAAAAAAATAATGGTTATTTATACTGAGCACCAGTGTAATTTACTTTTCCATGGTAACATCTGTTTGACTACACTGATGCAAGCCAGCAATTTAATGGCAATAAACCTGAATTAATTATAAAGTGTGTACATTTTAAAAGCTTTAGGACCTGTAGCCATCGTCATCTTATTGCCATTTTTTTTTTTCTGCAGTCATTTTTCTCTCTGAACTCGAGGTCTGACCGTGTCTAACACCTGTTTCTTGTCAAGTCTCACGCTCTGTTTGCAGGGATCTGCTCTCCTTTGAGAAGGCTCCTGGCTCCTGCTCTTCATGCGCAGAGGGAAGGAATGTAATCAGAGATGGCGTAAGTAAAAGGATGAGCTGTGATGTAAATCCTTTCCAAAATCCACCCTGACACAGCTAATGGTTGGGAACAGGCATCTCCTGCTGGGAAGTGGCCAGATTCCTTAGGGATTCACTCTGCCTCCTCTTACCTGACCAAGGGTTTCCTGACCCCTCGCTGGGAAACCAAAGCTAGAAGCTCTCCACCTACAATTAGATATTAACGAGGCATCTGTTGAAAGAACTTTTTCTTGAAGGAGCTTCCTTTACTCACTCACTTTCCAGAAGACAGACAAAAATGTCCAAAAAAGTTTTGTTTTTTTATTAAACCTCGTAGTACAAACCTGGAAAGTAAACAAAAAAACTGGCAATAAACAACATGAAGTCTTTCCTTACAAGGAAAGAGAGCAGAGCAGCGCTAATAAATTAAATGTCAAACTGTAAGCCATAGTCAGAAGTTTACTGTCAAGAGGGAAAAGTACACAGCAAGGCCATAAAAACCAGACAACCACATTTGAAAACACTTGACTCTGTTTATGTTATTGTTAAATATTCCAAAACAGTTCAGTCTTCTGCAACAACAACCAACAAATTGTATTATAGGACTTTCCTGACAGTCACCACTGGCAAGCTCAGTGCAATATGGGTAGCTACGGTATCGTTGAATTCAATTACGAAACAAAACAGTTTGTGAAAACATTTTCCCTTTTTTATTCCACACATACTGTACACACAACCAGAAAAGGGCAACAGCTACTCCATTATTATTTTTTGTTGTTGTTCAGTGATGTAAGCAGCACTTATAAATGTTACAAGAAAAACCCTGTAAGCATCCAATCCAACCGATGAAGAAAGTGAAACGTAAGGCTTTTCTTCATCTTGTCTCTTCGCCGTCCCTCCCCCCACCCCAAGAAAAGGCTCAAGTATTTAAAAAAATTTACAGGCATATGTACAAAAGGTGTGATTTTTTTTTTTTTTTGTTACAACATGAAGAGAAAAAATAGACAAGATGAAAGCAAATGCATTTTCACATTCAAAAGAAATATGCAGACCTGCTAGTGGCTCTAAATGTGATCATATAATGAAACAAATTCAAAACAAAAATTAATGCTTGACTGTGTAAAGGTGTGAAAAAACAGCAGTGGAATGGGAATGGAATGTTAGAAAGATTGCACGTCTATGACAAAAGAAGCACTTATGGCTTCAATCACCTTTTTTTTTCTTTTTTCTTTTTTTTTTTTTTTTCTTTTTTTTTTTTTTTTCTTTTTTTTTTTTTTTTCTTTTTTTTTTTTTTTTCTTTTTTTTTTTTTTTTCTTTTTTTTTTTTTTTTCTTTTTTTTTTTTTTTTCTTTTTTTTTTTTTTTAAAGGATGCTATTGAAGGGTTTTTGATAAAGTAGCCAACAGCACCAAAAAATAACAGAATGGATTTCCTAATGAAATCAGGCACAGTTTTCCCTCACGTGACTCCTCAAGGCAGGCAGTCTTTTTTCCTCCTTTTTTTTTTTTTTTTTTAAATTTTTTTATTTTTCCCCCTCAAAACAGATGCATAGTGATGTGCTGGTAAAAGAGAACATACTCCAAATCTCCTCCTTTTGCCTACAGTTAGGAAACAAAGTCCATCTTCAGCTGCCATAACCTCCCAAAGAAAGTGTGTATTCTCCAATTTAAAAAATTACAAAACTTATCTTGCTGTGACAGAATAAAAGACAGCCAAAGTAAAGCAATTTCTTTCAAGTTTTTGTCTCCTATCCCTTTTCTCTCTAGAAAAATCTGCTCACATGACTGGAGAACAAATTATAAAACACATCAAACTTTAACCTATTCAAAAAATGGGTTAAAAGCCTTTTTTCACAGTTACCAAAAAGGCTTTTTATTTTTTCAGCCATAGGGACAATACAAATTAATATTTTATCAGCCCCTTGCCGGTTTTAAAACAGTGAACATACGGCAGTTTAAAAAAATCAGACTGCTGTATCTATCTATTCTAAGTACAAAAAAAAAAAAAATTCAACAGTTTAATGCTAAAACAAAATTAGTTCTCTAAAACCAGAAGAAAATCTTCTTTAGAGCTAGTGCAAAGACAGCTTGTATTCTACAGCAAGTACTCCAAACTATGGTATAATAATTACAAAAAATATATATAAATTGACAAAATGAGAGTGTTGGCATCTTCAGGATTAACTTGAAGCACTTTTGGATGAACTGGAGGATGAAAGCCTAGATGATGGCACGTCAACTGTCGCTCTCTTACGAGGTCCTCTTTTTGGTGTAGGCTTGCTGATACAGTTCTCAATGCTGCCGTTTTTACCAGATACTTTTCCACAGATTTGATTGACCAGACTGATTATTTGTTCCTGTTCAGGAATCGGGGAAAAAACAAAACACAAATTAGCATCTGCTCTTTTCTCCAGTCACTTCTGATGCACAGAGATGTTAGCACCGCCTTTTTGACTGGGGGGTGGGGGGGCAAATCTACATATTTATGAGCTCTGCAGAAGCTTGGCTCATAGATGACTTACAGTAAGTAAAAAGTACTGTGTAGGGGTTGCAGTACTGCCCTTGCTGAAGCTTCACCCTCCAAACTTAAAGACAGTAACCAGCAGAATTGGAAACACCTGAGCTCCGGCCATTAAGCAAGACTACAGAAGCTGGGCTGCAAGGTTTCTTCCCTAGAACATTCCCTAGGAATGTTCTTCAGATACAATTTAAAATCTACTGCTGAACAAAGTTATAAATGCCATAAATGTAAATCCACAGTAACATAGATTATAATTTGCTATTTACTAAATATTTCTTTAAGAAGAGGATGCCACTTTTTGTTGGCGACGTTATTGTCATTGGTGATGGGGTGCTACTCCTTGCTCTGAGCCTGGCCATAGAGAAAGCCACTCGCTGCTATGCAGGAAAAAGGTCCATGGCAGGAGGCTGAGGACAGGAGTTGTCCTTCAACTGCACATCAAAGTGCACTGGCTAAGACTCCACTCCTAATTCCAGGACATTCAGGGATTTGATGAAATTTGGACAGCGGGAGGGAGATTATTTTGAACCGGCTGCCCCATCCTAGTAAGAACGTTGAGAAATTATTTTTGTGCAAAGTTGCAACAGCCTCTTAATTAAGTCTACCTAACAGTTAAAATTAAATAGCTTTAACACATGGCATTTGACGTGCGGGTTATCTCTCTCCCCATTCACAGCCCTCAAAAAGAATTCTGTAATAATAACCAGGTGTTTGGGGAAGAAAAAGAAAAAAAAAAATCATCAAGTATTGAAGGAGAGGTTTTCTTGCCTTTCCCAAGTGCAGCTTAAAATAGCTACTTTGCAATTATAAAACCTAGCAAAAATAATTACTGTATGTGATTCTGCTGGAAAGGATGGCTTAGAAAACCTCAACAGAATTCAACAGATCTGTAAAAACACGGCACGTAAGGGACTGAATCATCTCAAGAATAAGAGAAATACATTAAAATTTATGAGTAACTTCCTGAAACTCCGCAGTGTTTATCATCTCATTACAAAGGCAGTCTCGCTCTTGTCTGGGCAGCGTAGGTTGTACTCCTTCCTACCTACAGTACCTGATACCACAGCTGGGCCTACAATTAAAAATGAACAAAGCCACAAGGACATGATTGTCCTTAGACTTACTTTGACCTCTTGGTTCCCCACCGCCCCCATAGCTCTACGTGCATAGGGCAGGAACCTGCTGAAAAGCCCATCTCAAAAAGCTCCTTGTGCCAGCGCTGATCTCCACGAGCTCATTTTGTAATTTCTCCCCCACCACTTCCCTCTCCACAGCTCGGGGTGACCGTGAAATGCTCCCCACCCACCCCCTCACGCGCTGCCTGTCCCAGGGGAGGTGACCAGGCAGGCAAAGGGCACAATGTGACTTCACTCACTGCAAGGCAGCGTTAGCCCAGAACCCAGCCACGCTCCCAAACCACCAGCTTGAGCCCTGTGGTTATTCATCATCAGACTGATGGCTTGAAGCCACTACTGGACCCTCTCATCTACAAGTTTGCCTCAAAGAAGGTTCAGGCTGGACTGGAGTAAGTCCGTCTGAACTTTCCATTACTGACAGATAAGTTATCCTCAAGTACAGAAGTTCCAACACATTAACCAGTCAAAGTGCAGCCTCACGTTCTGCAGCACCCCAAAGCATCAAATGGCTTCTCTGTTCTCTAATGCATATTCAGGCAGTTTAAGCTTCAGGTTTCATCTTTGTAATCATATATTGCTCTATTTCTTTTACTTAGATCATAATAAAGTGCCACTGTCTCACACCAAAGAGAAATAAAAAACCCCACCAAAGAGCCCAGCTCAGTCTCCCGAGGTCTGGGCAGGACAAAAGCAGAGCTGAGCCTGGTCCCCAGTTTTCAGTGTGAGCCCCCCCCAGCACCGAGCTGCACGGTACCCACCTCATCGTAGCGGTACATCATCTTCAGTCCCCGACAAGACTTCTGTTTTTCCACGTGCCGAAGGGCACACTCCAAGCAGAAGACAACATTTTCGTTCTCCTGTACGACCTATAAAAACACAGAGATGGAGGGGGGGAAGCACAGTGAGCTCAAACTGTAGCCACGTTACACACAGCATTTCTGGTTGTAACATGTGAGTTGTTACACCTGTATTTTACTACAAGTTAGTGGAAGGAGGCGTAAACAAGCAGCGTTACACATTGAAATGGTTGAAAAATGTGTAAGAAGAAATGCATGTTGCTTTTTGAGTGCTCATGTTGGCAAATACATACAGGTTTTTTTAAAAACCACCAAGAGTAACGGAGGCCAAATCCAAATAATGACATCT